ATTGTATACGATAAATGACGCGACTCGAAAAGATAGAAGTTTTTATCGAGTTTTAAATTAAGCAGTTTATGGTGCTTGTCTATGCTAATCGGTTATTAGGATTATTGTGAAGAAAGGAAAAGGTTTTTTTAATTTTTCTTTTCTTTTTTCTTTTGTTGATAATTCGTCATCGTTGTAATTGATAAATGACGCGACTCGAAAAGATAGAAGTTTTCATCGAGTTTTAAATTAAGCAGTTTGTGGTGCTTGTCTATGCTAATCGGTTATTAGGATTATTGTGAAGAAAGGAAAAGGTTTTTTTAATTTTTCTTTTCCTTTTTCTTTTGTTGTCGATTCATCATAGTTGTAATCGATAATAAAAGTTTTTATCGAGTTTTAAATTAAGCAGTTTGTGGTGTTTGTCTATGCTAATCGGTTATTAGGATTATTGCGAAAAAGGAAAAGATTTTTTTTAATTTTTTTTTTTTTGGTTTCGAAAAGAATTCGCGTCCAATGTCCAATGTCCGCCACGCGACGGACATTCTTTGTGACACGGGTTATCGACGTAATTCCCTGTCCCGGAGAGAAAGGTTGGACGCCGCCCTGGCTGATCGAGGAAACGATAAAAGAAAAAAAAAAAAGAAAAAAAAAAAGAAAGAAAGAAAAGAAGAAGGTTGTAATGCGGGTTGTTGGGGAAAGGGGAAAATATCCGCATGGGTCAGCCGAGAGAGACTTAGAGACCGCGGAGATGGCCGCCTCAATATCGGCTTTTCGGATGCTCGAGGTACTTATCTAATGTCTTATATTTTCCGCTGGGCTGCCCATTCAAATTTCCATTCACCAACGGTCTCGTTGAGGGAGGAAGAAGAAGAAGAAGAAGAAAGAAAGAAAGTTATATCCTTCTTTCATTTTAAATTACGTTTTTAAAAAAATATATATATATGTACAGAATTTGGTGTTTGGTAAAACATTTCGTTTACTCGCTTCAAACATCTTCAAACATCGACACACTGTACGCAAATATTACATTTTTTTACGTACTTATATTACACGTAACATTTTCTTTTGTTTTCCTTCGCATTTTACGATCTTCGAACATCTTCAAACACCCTCAAACACTGTACACAAATATTACATGTATACTTTTTACATTACATTTATATTATAAAATTTGTTTTCTGTAACTCTTCGTCATTTCACGTCATTCTTTCCATTTAATGATCTTCAAACATCATCAAACACACTGTATACAAATATTACATTTTTTACGTATTTATATTGCACGTAATATTTTCTTTTGTTTCCTTCGCATTTTACGATCTTCAAACATCTTCAAACACCCTCAAACACTGTATACAAATATTACATGTATACTTTTTACATTATATTATACATTATATTATAAAATTTGTTTTTCCGTAACTCTTTCTGTCATCTCACGTCATTCATTTCCATTTAATGATCTTCAAACATCCTCAAACATCGACACACTCCATACAAGCATTACACGTATACTTCTTTTTCACGTATCTATATAAAGTAATTAAAATTTCTTTCAACTCTTCGCTCGCTCGCCACTCGATGGATCTTCAAACACGTTCAAACATCCCGCGTCACGAACGCGAAATCCGTTTCACGTTCACTCATCCCGCCTCGCGAACAACAACAAACTTCTCCTCCCCCCTCCCCTCCCGAAGCAAAGTTCATTCGCTTTTACATTCCGCGATTCTCTCCAAACATCTTCAAACAATGTCTTCGAATCGAAATCTCCCCCCCCAAAAAAAAAAAAAAAAAAAAAATTAAAA